AGCAACCAGGCTGAGATGCAAACCTTTAAAATTCAGGATACAATATAAACTGGGAATTGTATTTTGCTTTTTCAGGCCTGAAAGTTAAGTTATTTTAGGACAGAAAAAAAATGTACATGTGTTATTCAATAAGAATAACAATATGACGATTGTCTCCTTCTTCGAGGGCGGTATTTGACTGAGTTTTAAGCAGCAACACTTCAATCATTTAAAGTATTTCCATGCTGGTCAAGCCTACAAACCGCCTGTATTTTGACGGAAGTATTATTTTTACTGCAAGATAAGCACCTTTACAAAGCAAATTGAATAAATGATGACAAACTCTCTCTCCTGCCCCCTTTTGCACATAAGTGATTCTCGTATTGCTTTGAGGCATCCCTCAAGTAAAATAACATATAAATAGAATGTGAGAAATCACCACATTTTCTAGACTTCACACTTGGCAAGGATGAAAAACAAAATCTCATTGTGCCTCAACATATTCTCTAATTTTTCCTCCCTCTTAATCTAAGGATTTCATCCAGTTCTAATGAGCCCCCAAACTGCCTCAGCCCTCTCACTCACAAGTGCTGGCCTCCCTCATCAGGTTTAGGTAATTTGCTGGTCAGACTGGTAAATAAGGATAATCTCAAGGTAGTTTTCATTTCAAATTTGTTTCAATTTGTTTTCAAAATGGTAGACCGTCAGAAATAAACTATGTGGTTAGAAAATTCAGTTGTGCAGTGGTGTTAGAATCACGTAAGGTATACAATGGACTGCCCTATCATAAATAAAATGACACTGAACCAAAAAACAGACTACAACGTGTGAATTTTAGTTCAAGACTCAACAAAAAGAAGAAGCCAAAAGAATATTCCATCTGCCAGCCTTCAAGTTTCTTTTGGTTACAAAATCTTAGGGCTTATTGAAGAGATCTTAAATAGATTTTCCACTAAGGGTTTGTGTGTAATATCTATGCTCTGAATAGAAACCTGTACTATTTCTCCCTCTGAAACATGCATAAGAGACTTCTTTCTCAAAAGCAGTTAGAGGAATAACAAAATAAATTAAATTTCTCGGAATATGAGTCTATGCTCAAATTTCTCCAATCTGAAGTAGATTTTCAATGACATAGAGAAGCAATTACAAAGTGAAAGAAATGGATGTTTTGATATTGTGTACAAATTGATGGCTCTAATATCTATGGTGAAGGCTCATTGCAACACACACTTTTCCTAAATGCTTTAATTATTATCACACCATTGCGTTTTTCTAAAAGTTGTTCAAATAGACATCTTTAGGAAGACTTGTCATCTGCTAGAAACATGTAATAGGCATTTCAGTATTTCTAAACAGCTTATTTACGGAAGGTATATGTGTAGTTTTAGTGTATTTTTTTAAAAAAGTGTTTTGCAAGATTCAGCTGAAAGTCTAAATGTTCTTACTTGGATCAAGGATCGTTTGAAAGCATTAGATAGACCAAAATGTTACCATTTAGTAATTCTCTCAAAAGTCAAGGGCACACTGCCTTAAGTATGTTTACATGAAGCGATGAATATGTCCTTATTTGTAAGTGTCCACGTACATGTATATCTGTGTATATATAAATAAACACACACATATATTTATAAAGTATACATGGTTAATATCTATTCTTCTAACCTCTGTCCCTTATCAGATTACCTCTAATTTGACACAGCACAAGGAAGTTTATACCATTCTTTCAAGTTCAGTGCCATTGTATTTGTAATATGTATAGAAACAACAATTTTAATCTGTCCTACTAAGGGTTGCCAATATTCAAATGTGTTTTTCACGTACTTCAAATTAACTAAAGTACACTTTTTACAAGCTAAAATATTTAAATGAACATGACTTTTAAACACTTCTGTAGTGTAGTATTAAGCGTGCATATTGACATTTAATAAAAACGACATGATTTTATGATTACAGAGATGATAACAAACTGTAAATAAGTCATTCCATGAATGGACTCTGTATGGGTGTCCCACGGCCTCTCAAAGCCACTCTGAATATCCTCACTGAAACTGTTACTGACTAATGTGCTACATTTTAAAGCCACACTGGGTTTTCAACTCCTTTCCTGCCAAACTAACTAGAAAGAATGTCTCCCATAACAAAATACAGACTCAGCTCAAACCCATCCCTAAAGAGTAGGAAAGGGGGCCGCATACCTGCAAATTCAAGCAAAATTCATCTGGACAAGTAATTCAATAATTTATTTAGTATAAGTAGATGCTTTAAGGTATTTGAGACTTAAAAAAAAATTATTCAAGCTTCTCTTTTATTACTATGATCCTCCTTGTTACAATGTCTTACATTCAGAGTTCATTTTCTAGCTCTCTATTATAAAAAAAAAATAATAATTTTTAAAGAGTGTTCAGGGTCAGTTTACAAAAATATTAAAAGTTTCATTTCTAAATTGTCTCTGAACATGAATGAATATTTCTAAAATATCCTCCAGGATCATCAATAAGATCTGACTACTTTAGTTCTTTTAAAAATTTAAGGAAATCTCCAGGAAGAAGTAAGGAGGGTTAAAAGTCATAAAATGTTTCTATGTAACTAAATTCACTGAAAGTCTAAAGATAAGTGGCTCTATTTCTCAGGCCAGAAAGTCACATACAAGGATATTTTGCCATGTTTCAGTAGGCAAAAGGTAGAAAAATTACAGTAGAAAGGACAAAATCCTGCCAGTGTCATAAACTTGGACTCTGGACAAAATGAAAACTTCTAAAAGTGATTTCCTTTTGAAAAAATAAAGCGCTGGCTTATTTATTTATTTATTTATTTGTTTGTTTTTATGAGTGGTATTGTTTCTAGCATTTTAATAGCTCGTGATTTTAATGCAAGGGATAGAGCTCTTTCCTGGATTTCAAATTTTGCACTGACTTGATTCAATGTAACTTACCAGCAATTCAAACTTTGTGACAAACAATCACAACACAAATTTAGATCAATATCTGCAAATTAAATCTAAAATTATCTGAATTTCCTGTTCAGAGGTAAAAGTTTTCCTCATCATATTAGATACCAAAGAATGTTTCAAACTTTAATAAGAGTAAAATGTGCCCATACACACAATACAGGAAATTTTCAGGTTTTAAAACTTAAGAAAAATAATCTTACCTTATACAATGGGATTTTTAAAAGCCATTTTTATATTTTTTTTGTGTATTTTATTGATCAAACTTAAGGACCCAAGATTTTCATAACTAATGTTACTAATGTTTAAACTAATGTTTAACTGTTTAACGATAATTCAAAATAAGATACTTACTTAGCCACTACCTTTTAATATAATGGTCGACTTTCTCTCACTTTCCAACAGCCTGTTTATCCTAAGAAGAAGTCTGTTAAAGAAAAACTCTACTCGATTCACTTTTTATCTGATAGTGTAATTAACTAGAAGAGAAATTCAAAACCAGTATTCTTAACATTTTATACTTCTTGGATATTCCCTAGGGTATACCTAGCACACAATACCGAACCCACCATGATCTAGGGTATAATTATCTAAAAGAAACAGATGTTTTCAAAAGTAAATGAAACTACGTATTTAAACTATACTTATGTATTAACCAGATGTCATGGGGCGGGGAGCGCTATCTGAATGGTTTCCAATATGATTACATGACAAGTTAATTTCTTTTTAATACCTAATAAATGATTGGTCTACTTCACTTACATGGAGATCTGTGATTAATAACGTTTTAAGAACCAACCATTGATTCACATGAAAGGGGAATATATATTTGAGCTCCACAAAATAATTTCAAAGTTAGATGCTTCTGAAAGAAGAGGTAGAATGCACTGGCAAGGGAGACTTTGCGTCTTTAGTCTCCGTGGTGACTAGTATCTCAAAGCTTTCTGAAGGTGTTGAGAGTTATAATTTAGTTCTACTGACGAGCATCTAATTGAATGAGCATTAGCTGGATATACTTACAAAAAACAGTATTTTCACATGTAACTTGAAAACTGCTTAAAACAAACAATGGAAATCCTGCCTCCCATAAAGGGGGAGATGTAGGATATTCCAAATCAAAAATGACGGTGAGTTATGATGAAAATCTTTTTGGATTCCCATCCAAAGCCTGGATGCTTGAAAAAGGTATTTTCAAATTCTGGATGGTTCAGCCCACTTCTCCTATCTACGTTAGTAGTATTAACCTTACTACATGCCATTTCACATGTATTTTGTAATGTGACATTAAATTTCATATGTAGCTTGAGGGCTGGAAATTAAGGACAAAGATGGTTTTCAGGATTGACAAAAACTCACTCAGGACCCTATGTCACAATTCTTCCACAGTACCATCTGGAGCTCGAATGTTGTGTCCATTCCTTAGGTCGACCAGCAGCACCTCACCCTGACACACCCAGCAAGACAAGCGTGAAGTCGGGACAATCACAGAAACTAGGGAAGAGAGGTCTGTTAATGACTGTACCCATTCAGTTGCATTTTAAAATTAAAAGTCGAGAACTAAAACCTGGGAACTTTTGAGTTCTCCCAGCAACAAAAGGGATGTATATAAAGCTAGTCTTGAACGATCGAATGCCTGTTAATTTGATTGCCGCGAATTCCAGTCATTAGCCAAGCAGTCTTCCAAATTAAGACATCCGGTCTCCTCCAATTTTCCACTTAAACCAGAACACAGAAGAATAGATTTGACCAATCAACTCTGGATAAAATTACCCATAAAGATGACTTATGGTGGAAAGATTAGTAATTATAGGGAGAAACCTACACTGCCACTTGAAGTTTCACAGATTCACAGATTTCTTAACATTCTTGACTTAGTTTGTACAAGATAGGTGACATTTTTGAAATGTGCACTTAGTATTTCCCATAAGCAAAAATGTTTCCAGTTGAGTGGTAGAAGGCAACCTAAGAATTCTGAAACTCTGGATAGAACTGAAATTAAAAATAAAGATGCACCGTCCGATACATATTTGATAGCCACGTAACATATAATCACAATTAAAGAGCACACAAGAAATTCTCAGTTCATATAATTTATTGCAGTTAGCACACAGTTTAAAAATTCACCAACACACCAACAGTACAAAACTAAACAGCATTATAAGTTATACCCCCCTCAGGAAAATAAAACATACTATGATTGTCAAGGCTAGATGTCAGTCTAAGTTTTAGAACAAAGGAAGAATGTGAAACTAATAAAAAGAAAAAGCAATCACTCACAATGACCACAAAAAGAAAATCCAAAAGAAAGTCCGTTTTCTCACAGACATTGATTGTCTCCTCTAAATTAATAAAAATTATTTTAACATAAACTGTATTTAAAAAAAAAAACTAGAAACTCTTCAAGTAACTAAAGGTAATGCTCCAAGGCCATTTTCACAGCTTTTTTTGTTTGTTTGTTTGCTTTAAATGCCGTTACAGCCAAATTAACACACATTTGACCAAATATTTCCAAAACAGTCCAGCAACACACAATGGAGTTTTCCATTCAGTATCTTAAGCACAAAAATAGGCTATGTTTACAGTAGTTAAGGCGATCAAATTTTAAACAAAAGCAATTAAAAAAAAAAAGGGAAAAACAGCAAACGTTTTCCATGCTACTCCCATAGACCTTATTTGTAAGTGCAAGACAGGAAAACAAACACTGTGCAAAATGCTTTTGCCCTGTGTGCTGGTCATTAAACCACACTCGGGCGGCAGCCTTGGCTGCCCAGATACACATAGTCTACGAACCCCTTCCCCATGTCAATCAAGGCAGTCCAGTCCTTTCAGCCTGGGGCTTTTTCAGTCCATAGAATCTTTTCATGAGTGGGGGTGGGGGGGTGGGGGCAGGGGTGAAGGAGCAGGGAAAAGGAGGGGGAAAGGAGGAAGAAGGGGAGAAAAAGAAGAGGGGAGGAAAAAAAAATGACCTATTGTCAATTTGTGCAGTAGTTATTCTAAAAATGCTCAACTGGGTAAATGTGTACACCTAATCTTGGAGCTGGCATGGGTTTTGTGCAATCAGAAGTTTGTTATAAATGCACACTGCACATGCAAATCTTTAAGCCGTTTGTAAACATTTATATTCTCCTTGTTATGTAGCGAAGTTATCAATTTGCAGCTTAAGTTTTTATTCAGCTTAACAGTTTCAACTTAAAGACAGTGGGAAAGTCAATTTAAATTATATAAAATAAAAAAAAAACAGTGCATTTATGATCTTCATAACACCAGGTTTTTTTTTTCCCCCAATGGTGCTATTTTTCTAAGGAAATTAAATAATTTTAAACTCACTCGTTAAAGTTATACAATGCAAACAAAGACAAAAAATATACTGAAACTCATGCATTTCTGTAGCGTTAATATTTACTTTTCAAGACTCAACTAAGAGCATCAACACAACCTGTCAAGTTCTTTGACACCCCCCCGCCCATGTAATCAATTACAGTATACAATAACAGTAATTCACATTTTCAACACACAGTTCAACACTGCTGAAGCTGCAATATCCTTTTTCATCTCAAGCAAACCTTCACAAAGACAGCGTCCCAGTGATCCCAGTGTTCTTTCAGAATTTCTCTCATTGGGAACCGTCAGAAAACCAGAAGTTGCCACAGAAAGTTGTAAGTCAACTGCTTGTTTAAAAATAGATAATCCAGCATTTCAGAAATTTTCCATTTGGGTCTAAAAGCATTCAGGTTTCCAACAGCCAGCAAAGATTCATGCAATTTGAGACATAGAAAGAGGCTAAAAAACGGGAGGGAATTTCTATTTAAAAAAAAAAAAAGTGAAAAAACAGAGTTCAAAAGACAATGCCGTGGCGACGAAATTAAGCCATAGGAAAGCATTTTGATAGGTCAATTTGTCTCAAAGGTGGATTGGCTTACTTCTACCCCCGTGAAAGAAAAACACCTCTACTCTCGGACTTGCTCTAAAGTTTCTTTTACCAAAATGCTAAATTAGTGAGATTCTCATGCTATTCTAAAGTGCAAAAACAAGTTAATATCCCAACTTTTTAGTTCCAGGAAACAAGACTGCTTTTAGACCGTACCACAACTATATAGAGATCTATTTATATATATGTATAGATATATTATTTATATATGTATAGATATATATAAAATCATTTCCAAAGTTCTTGAGAGCTATCTTCTAAGGTCCAGTCTCTGACAGTGGGCAAGCTCAGGGCTTCGCTTTTGACAGACAAGGAGTTCACCAACTCACAGTGGAACTTGCGGATGTGTCTGTACAGGTCTCCGGACTGCGTGAAGCGGCGCTCGCACCACTTGCAGGCGTGCGGCTTCTCGCGCGTGTGCACCACGGCGTGGCGGCTCAGGTTGTGCGAGTACTGGAAGCTCTTGCCGCACTGGGTGCACGTGTAGGGCTTCTCGCCCGAGTGAGTCCTCTCGTGGCGCTTCAGCGTGTACATGCAGGAGAAAGTCTTGCCGCACAGCGAGCAGGTGGGCACGTTGACGTCGGCGGCCGGCTTGCTGCGCAGGCTGTCCTGCTCGCGGAAGTGCGTGCTCAGGTGGATCTGCAGGATGTGCGGGCTGGGGAAGACCTTGTTGCACAGGGGGCACATGAAGATCTGGCCGGCGGGGCTCAGGATGTTGGACACGTAGGGCAGCAGGCTGCTCTCCATGCCCCCCTCCACCTGCACCCGCTCGCTCTCCGGGGTCATCATCTCATCGTCACTGGCTTTGTCCTCCCGCTCGAGCTCCCTCAGGACCGAGTCCTCCCTCAGAGGAGCCAGATGGGCCGGCTCATACTGTACCCTGTTATTAGTGCTCACACTTTCTTTCACAGTGCTATGTTCCATGTCATAGTCATTAGTGCCAACATCACTCTCATCACAGGAGGCCTCTTTCTCCACCTTCACCTGCACCAGGTTGCTTCTCAGCACGTCCTGTGAAGAGAAATAAGAGCTGTTCAGATTTTCAACTCCTGAAAGGCTGGACTTGACAGACAGGTCCAGCACACAGTCAACATCTGCCGAATCCCTCACGGAGCTGACAGACCTCTGGGACAGAGACTCAGTGGAGCTGCAGGGGCTGGCTACTGTTTTTCCAGCTGCTGCGGCGTGCGGCTCTGCCTCTCCGCCAGCGTGGGGGAGGCCTGCTGAGTCCGAGGGCAAGCGCATCCACATGTTCCCAGGCTCGGCCGCCAAGTCCCTTTTGCCGGGCAGGATATTCAGTTTCTCATCTTCTCCTTCATCTTCGTCACTGGGCAAGTCCCCCGCGATGTGGCTGCTGCCATCGGAGAGACTCTCGACTTTGTCGGAACAACTTGAAGCGTCCTCTTCTTTTTTGGTGCTGTCTGCCTCCGTCGTGGCTTTCTCTTTCAGCTTCTTTTTGCAGACTTTGACAATGTCATACATGTGGAGATAACTGGCAGCTGCTAGCACGTCTTCAATGGGCAAGTCTTTGAACTGGAGTTTCCCTTCATACATGAATTCAAGAAGTAGAGCGAAAGCTGGGGCTGTAACAATGTCGCTGTTCAGATGAACAATGTCTCTTTTGTCCAGCTGGTCCTTGTAAAAGAGGTGGAAATACATGCTGCATGAAGCCAGCACAGCTCGGTGCGCGCGGAACTGGGCATCTCCCACCAGAACAGTGCAGTCACAAAGGAAACCCTGGTGCCTCTGCTCACTCAGACACTGCAGCAAATGTCTACTGTGGTCTGGAAACTCCATACTGTCTTCATAACCTGGAAGAGAGAAATCTCTCATGAAAGCCTGGTCAGGAACAACTTTGCAACCGTCTAGTGTCCATATCTAAAACACACACACACACACACACACACACACACACACACACACACACCAGCCTGGGCCTCAGAGGGACATGTCCCTGAATTTTAAACAGGCTTTGACTCAAGTGCAACTAAATCACACACAAAAAAAACCTAAAACCTACTTGGGAGAAGAATAAATGTACTTTCCCAACTTCCTTATCCTAGCCAGAGAGCCGCTGATACATCGCCACGTTCCCTGAACTTTCAGTCAAGTTTTAAAAGTCGCTATTTCTACACCACCTCTTAACGGAGAATAAGAATTTAGATTTCTTTCAGGGGAACTTAATTAATCACTCATCAAATTATGTCCCACGAAGCCTATTTGCATTTGTTTTGCTTTAATTTTCAAAGGGAACAACTGGGATTATGAACAAAGAAAAGTTCCAAACACATTCTGGAAGGTTTAGAAAACTTGTGCAGCCATCCTTTTTATTTTATCACTTTTAAGACTTGACTGCCTATAGGAAGCACAATTTAAATACACACATTTGGCTGAATCAAGAAAAAATGAAATCGTATAATTAGCCCAGAAATTAGCAAACAATTTACTTTCTAAGTCAGAGTGTTACAACAACAAAAACCCTGTGTATAAAAACAGATGTTAATGCTTTAAGATGTGCAGGTAGAGCGCACATGTATGAGATCAGAAGGAACTGCACCAACAGATGGGAAAGATCATCTTTACTATGAACAAATCCAAATATTTTTTAATGAATTGAGGGAAAAAATGGTTACATTTCTTTGCAAAATCTGTACATTTAGAAAATTAATAGCCAGAAGAGCTTTATTTAACTCTGAAGATTCTCACCTAAACTTTAATCCGTTGCACAGTAAAATGAGTACCACGTTAAAATTAATTTAAACTTTTAAATACAGGCGTAAGATGCTCAGTTGAGACTCAAAAGCTTTACAAATTCAACCCCCCCCCCAAAGAAACCTCGCTAGAAAAAGAGAAGCTTTTTCTCTTTCCTTTCCTGACTCTGCCTTACCTCAGTCAACAGAAAATACTTTGTTTCAACATAACTTGATCTATTTTGCTTTCCCACTAGCTTCTTTCTATTCTTTCAAATCTGCATTGTTGCCCTTGTTTTCTGGTGAGGGAGGGTGAGTTGGAGAGAGAAGGAAGGCGAAAATACACAAAGGGTCAAAACTCAACTGCAAAGTTCAACTCCTCAAAAATAATGAAAACCTGACTTCCCCTTTCTGAAGCGAGGTTCCACACTCTTCATCTCAGAAAGCACATTTTGAGAACACAACACGTATTAATTCAATATTCAGCAATTACTTCCCGCTTCTCCTACACTTTGCTCACCGTGGACTAAAACTTTCACCCTGGACCCAAACACATCCTCCAAGACGCCCCTGCTAGAATAAACCAAGATTTACAAGACAATCACTTTAAGTGCCCCACAGCTAACATCAATCCTAATCCTTGAGAGGGCTAAAAATAAAGATTGGAGGGCAGCTCACAAGGTAGCTGTGATCAAATTAGGAGGCTGAGAGGACAGAGAGGGACGGAGAAGGAAGCTTATAAACATCTGATCCAGCTGACTGTGGCCATATGGCAGCTGCTGCCCAGATAAAGAGATTAAGAATAGAGGAGTGAGCTTACAGCTGTCTGGCCAATTCAGGCAGCTCAAATCTACAAGTTCTAAATTAGTCCCTCACACAAAAACTCCTGCAAATAATTATTGTTATGCTGAAATAAAAGATCTCTTAAATATATATTTGAAAGAGAAATGAGGAAACCAGTCAAACTATTCTCCTGGGGACAAAAGTTTTTGTTGTTTTTTTTCCCCCTTCTTAAAAAACCTTCGGTTTCAAAAGCACTACAGCTGTATGTTTCAGTAGTGCTGCTGAATGTTTTGAAGAATAAAGTTTCACAGTGGAATTAATTACACAACAATCTAGCTTCTTAACTAGAATAATCTTCTCATGTAAGTTTGAATGCTGGATTCCAGACAGTTTACTATTTCTTCCCTTCCAAGCAAAAAAGAATCTAAATAGCAGCAAACAACAACAAAAAAGCATTTTAATCCAAAGTGATCTCAAAAAGCAATTATCTCAAAGCCTTAACATTTCAAAACTTCAAGCATTTCTATGCCTTAAAGTTATTTATTTACCCAAGTAAAAGGGCTAAAAATCACAACTAAACAAGTCCAAGATTTTCAACTCCAGTAAGATGCTCATTTCATACTCAATTTCATATATTATTCCTAAACTTGGTTAGAAAAGTAATGTGATTTTTTTTTAATTAAATAAACAAAACACCCAAACAGAAATATGCTCAATCTAATCTCTCGCTACTCCTACCTTTAGGACACATAAACCTGATTAAGTCCTTTCCTCTGAGTCTTGCTGGCTCCAGGTCTGTTACATCGGTGGAAAAAAAGCAGACTAAGAGAGACAGATGCAAAGTGGAGAAGATGTTCGAGAGGAATGAGATACCTTCTCCACCGCAGATCCGCACACACTAACTCCCTGTCTGTGTGTTAGAATAAAAGGCTGAGGGATGGCAGGCTGTCAGCTGCTCTGACATCATGTTCAGATGGAAAAGCTACCTCCAGCTGTGCGCTTTTAATGCCATATGCTCTCCTCTACACTCCTGCCACCAGCTTTTTCTTAGGAGAACTTTTCTCCTCTGTTAGTATAAACAAAATACTTCAAAGTCTCCCTTTTTCCCCCAAACTTTCTAACAGAAGAAATTGAAAAACTCAGCATATGGAGTTCTACTGTATTTATGGAATAGCAACACTTCTGTCTGAAGTTGGTGGACTGGCTTACATACTGACAGCACACTCAAGCCACGGTGCTATTCAGGAAATCCAGATTCACTTTTATTCAACTCCAACATTTAGTTTCAAAGGCAGTTTAAGGATATTTTTAAACCAACCCATTTGACATTTCCAGTCCTATTTCAACATTAATATGAAGCTTGCTTGCTTTTTTCCCCCTGCTGCTGCGATAATGATATACATGTTTCAGAATGTTGGAAGAACTATTTCTTCAATCTGGTTCACCTTATTATTTCATTCTTACTCAACGACTCATCTACCTTCAGCTACTTTCTCAGTAAAATCTCTCACACTGCCAATTCATGCAAATATCAATTCTCGGTATCAACAAGCCGAAACTGTACTTTCTGAAATCCTGGAAAGTACTTCAGCTCAATGAGAAATTAATAAACTGATACAACCTGCTACAGTCCCTTAAAATGAATGCCGCACCTGCATATCTGATCTTTCTACTCAGGGGAAAAAAAAAAAGAACTTTGTCTTCCCCTTGATCTGTGTCCCATAACAATTTTTTTTTGGGGGGGGGAGGTTCCTCTGCAGTGCTCATGGATCACAAGAAGTCTTGCAGAGAAAAAGGGGGGCTGGGAGGGGGGGAGCCGGGTCTAGTCAGTTTGGGAACTTTGTAGCTCGACTCTGCGGGTCTTTTCTAAGGGCTGATGAAACTGTAACGAGAGCCGCACCGGCTGGCCGGCGCCTGGCGAGGGGCTGCGACATCTGGGACAGTCAAGCCCATTGCCACAGGCTCCTGGGACGGAGAGGAGCGCAGGAGCCGGGCCAGACGCACGCGCGTCCGACCGCGACGGCCATTCCCTCGTGCGGGGCGGCCGCCTCCCGGCCCCGGAGTCCAACTTTGTGGAAGTTCTCGCCGGATGGCATCAGGACGACGCCTGCCGCGGGAGGCACTCGGGAGGGAAACCCCTTCCCGGCCACGCAGTGCCCTCGCCACGAACGCCCTCGCCCCGCCGCAATCTATCCGGCGTGAGTCACCCCAGTTACGGGGGGCTGAGTGACAGTTTAATGCGCCCCGAGCACCGCACCGGCCCGGCGACTCCCCCTCCAGCCTCGCTCCCGCGGGTCCGGCGCGGGCTCTGGGCTCGCATTTTTGCTTTCCGAAGCGGGGTGCGCGGCGGGGGGGGCGCAGAAATGCAAATGTCCACGCAGCGGGCCGCGCATAAAACACCCGGGGAAAGAGGAAGGTTAAGGCGCAGGAAGGGGGCGCGGGCGCGGCAGGAAAACACCTTCAGCAACGGCCGAGCGAACGGAGCCGGGTCGCCGCAACA